TGCCATCTCTGAAGCATCGGCCCACTACTCTCCATTTCCCTTGCAATCTCCCTAGTCCAGGCTATTATCTTATGTCCTATGACATCAGGGCTGGTCTCAGTCTCTTTGGATCCCCTTTCTACCCAGCTGTAGTACTAATATTCCTACAATGGAAATGAAACCAAATCATTCTCCTTCATTAAACCCTTTAATTGCTTCCCACTGCCAGAATAAAGTGCTGCATCCTATTAATGGCAGCCACTAAGGCTCTGCTGGTCTCAGGACCTGGCCTCTACCACTGACCTTTTGTTTTCTCTACTCCAGACCTTTGATCTTCTATGTTTCCCACCTTATATCACATTCACTTAGACATCTAAAGGAGACCAATGGTAGACCAGGCATGCGAGCACTGTTTTAACAATGATTGCTGAAGGAGAGAAAACACACACACACACACACACACACACACACACACACACACACACACACACAAACGGGGGGGGGCAATAAAGATGGAGGGACCTGGGGGGCATGGCTCAATGGATAAGACACCTTGCTGTTCAGGATGAGGACACAAGTTTGAATCCTAAGTACCTACAAAAACCCAGGCATGACTCACACAACTGCAACCCAGCCTTGGAGGACTGACACAAACAGATCCCAGGAGCTTGGATGAATTTCAAGTCAGGGTGAAACCTCAAGAGAATAGGAAGAAAGCAATAAAGAAAAATGTCTAGTGTCTTCCTCTGGCCTTTTCTTGCATGCACATGGGTACGTGTGTCCACACCTATGCATGTGGCATAAGCATATGTACACACAAAGAAAGAATCTTAATTTATAGGTAACCAATTTGTTTTCCTCTTATAGGCACTCCAAGCAGATACACTCGGATGTAACAATTGAGAACAATTAAAAAGCTTGCTTTAAAGGTTTTTAAAAATATAGGTTGCATACAAAGAGGAAATATATTGAATAGACATATTACCAGGATGCAGTTGGGTACGTACTGCATCTTCAAGCATGTGTGCTTGTTTTGCAGAGCAGAGAACTTCCACTCCTTCTGGTCAAAGGACAAAGCCCTGGAGAAATACAAATGCAATTTAAAAAGAGTTCTTGGTCAGTATAGCCATTTGCATTCAAAAGAAATTATTTCTGAAGCATCCCTTTTCAGAATTCCAATTAGAGATGTAAAATGCCCGCACATAAATGGGAAGGTTTAAATTGAGGTGTAGAATCATATTGAGGTCACTACTTAATAAAGTTTGAGCCATCAATAAATGTTCCATCGTGCTTTGTTCATAACACATGCAAGTTCTATCTGGGTTAGTTTGGGTTAATAGTCCCTTTAATTATCCAAATGAGCCTTCCTTGCTTGCCAAGCTATATTCTCCTTCCATTTGGCCTCATACTACTATTTCTAACAGCTTCCCTAAAATGGGTGTCAAGGGAGTCAGGGGTGTCTGCGGAAGGAGAGTTTTTATCTGTGACTCAGAATTCATTCACAGAGTCTACAGAGATTGAAGAGCACCTACTGTGTACCAGACACTGAGCAGTAGAGACACAGCAGTTTGCACCTTGCTAGAGTGTTAAGTCTGGTTAATGCTGGTTAGCATGAAGACAGTATGTGAAGACTACCTGGCTAGGAAAGGGGTTATGGCAGTGTAGCCTATTCAAGGATGTTATCTAGGAGGGTTGTGATTTGGTGAGTGTAAATTCAAATAAATCAAGCAGAGATTTGGGTGTCCCCAGCAGGGGAAACAGCCAGAGTGGATTGATAGGCAGCATCCAGGCCCTGGGCACCCCTGACACTGGGTATTTATCACTGTCCCTGGAACACATGGGCCTTCCCTTCCCTGTCCTCAGGACCCAGTCACCTCTCCATCGCCCTGTTTAGTTCACCTGGTTCATACCCTGTTACCACTCTCTTATTTCAGTTTCAACTGGGAAATCTTCAAAAGGCACCTTCCCACTTCCAAAAATTTCATGTGAGTTATAAGAACCAGGGGAAGGGAAATGCACACAGCCCATGTTGTGACTGTAACTCAAAAGCTTCCTGTGGCAATGACTGTCTGAATTACTTTCATTCTGTGTTTATGCAATTTGGGGTCAGAAAGGACACATTTATCTATCTATCTATACCTTACTTCATTTTACTACAGCACAAGCTTCATGCTGGCAAGAGCCTTTGTTCTGCTGCATTGTTTCCCAAACGTACTGCAGAGCACCTGGCTCCTGTTAGTCATTCCAGAAATACTTGTTGAAATATTCAATTCCTTTTATGGGGGTGGTATGCTCTGACAATCTTGACTCTCAAGGGCTCCTGGTGGTCCAAAGAAAAAGATAGTGTTTCCTCAGAGTGGGTGGTCCAGGCTCTAACAATTCAAGTAAACCATAGACTTGGCAGTTCAAAAGAGGGGCAATGTGGGCCCTGTGGCTCTCCTTAGTGCTTTAGTTAAGGCCTGCTTTGCTGAATGTTATCTCTTTGTAGTAGGTAGATGTAGTTTTATTTATTTATTTATTTATTTATTTATTTATTTATTTAGGTATTTATTGCCTACAGTCCCTGATGCTCTGTAAATCCACTCATCATTCAGCACCCAGGGGAGGGAGTGGTGGTTGTGGGGGGAGACTAACCTTTCTTGGTGACTAATGAAGAGACATAAGCCCAGATGGGCCAGTGTCCCTAGACTATTCAAGGCTAAGACCAGTCACTACTGAGAGGTCCTTGACCAAGGCTTGGTTCCTCCAGGCCTTTGAATCTGCTCTTGGGAGTTTCTTGTCCCAGTACCCCTGGACACCCTGGGATTGCAAGCTGGATACAAACCATCACATGGTCCCCTTTGCTGTCTCTGAGCTACCCTTGGGCCCTTCCAGCCTGTGAAGTTTGTCCGGTGAGTCTTCCACTCCTAGGGCGGCTGTCTCCTCACTTCAGTGAGCACAGCAGCCTCTACTTACTGCCCATCAAAATCCCCCCAGGCAAAGAAATAGTGTCGCCACACGCATGCAATGAAAAGCAGGGCAGAGAACAAGCTGAGAATATCAAGACATTTTCATCCCACACACAGACTTGCTCCACCATTTCAACTGGTCTTGTTCAAGTACCGGTTAAAGAAACAGCCTTCGGAGGACCCCAAGATGGAAGCCAAATGCCCAATATTGACAACATTCGCTCCCTCCTAGGACAGTAAACAGAAATGGAAGAATCTTGTTCCCCATGTTCCCAGCTCCCAGAATCGGAAGGCTCTTGCCAGATCCTGTTTAAATTCTGTCAACTCCCCCAGCTTCCTAAGAACCTGTCTGGCGTGTGAGCCTTTCCACCTTCTGCCACGGAGAAGCTTTCTTCCACTCGCACCTCAAACCTCTGGGAAGAGTCCCTGAAACTTCAAAAGTAACTCGCTCAGACATTGCTGCGGTGGCTAGAATATAAATGTCCAGGAGTCCTGACATCTTCTATGGGGGATCTTTCAAAAAAAGACTTCAAAGAAACTGCTCTCCTGCTTTGAGAGTTTCCCACATAAGTAATAAATGAAAATAATTGCCCCTTTCTAGATGTATCTGATTTCATCTAGAGAGACTGGGTTGTTAAACAGGCTGGAGAGACTGTGGATGTGCCTGGGGCCTCAGCGGTGCATGAACCCTCAGGGGAGGGAGCGCATTTGAAAGGCCTCTGCTATGCTGCCTCCTCCCAACAGCCTCCAAGATGATGTGTGGGCACTGGCATTTGGAAATAAAGTCTATTTCTTCTTGGAGTAATTATTGTTTTTCTTTTCTAAATACTAAATCCATTGGGTATTGTTTGAGACAGAGTCTCAATGTAGCTCAGGCTGGCCTCAAATTCACTTTGTAGTAGTCAAATACAAGCTTGATCCTTTGGGGCTCTCCCCAAATTCTGGGATTACAGGCATGTGCCAGCAGGCCCAGTTTGTGAAGTGATGGGGACTGAACCCAGGGTTTTGACATGCTAAGCAAGCACTCTAACACCTGAGGTACATCTTCAGAATGAAGTTCTTCCAGTGAAATTAAAATCTAAAACAATGTCTTATGGAGGGTGTGGCATTTCCCCTATTTATAGAACCTTACGACACCTGTCACATGAGATAGGGGCTGGTGTTGAGCTAAAGGTGAAGCATAGGCATTAGTGCCCAACCCTCCACTGAAAGATAAGGAAATACAGTGGGAAGATTTTAAAGTGAAAATAAAATGAAGGAAATATTCCCATTCTGGTCCTCAGCTTCCCTGGGATAGTCCCTGCCTGGTAGAGCTTTTGAGAGGGGTGGATAAAGTAACAGCTGGAAAACTGCACAGCCCAACTGGGTGCTCAAGGTCAGTGCTAAGTAGGTTAGCCTGCTTAGTTGGTAGCTTAGGAGTAAGTCACATTCTGACCCACTTGGCCAGCCCAAGATGCACGTCAAAATTATGTTTCTTTCTCTCTTCCTCTTTTTTCATTTTTCTTAAAATTCAAGCTTATGTTCACCTGTGGACCTTGAGTTCACTGTCCTGCTGAAGAACTTTCCAGGAGTTTCTGATGTGCTGCTTTGTGAAGCTGAAAAACTCGTAAGGCCAAGGACCACACATATCACTAAATGAATTCCGTTCAGGTGGTAAAGGGATAGGGACTTAAATATCAGTGAAATTTCAAACTTGAAATTTGAGAGTTTTGAAAATGGCATCTTATATTAATAGCAAACACATAATTGCTACAAAGAGATAAATAACAATGACCAGCTTAATCAACATAAAGCAATTAGGCTTCCTAGAATTTGGGCTCAGCACTCAGAGGGCTCAGACAAGAGGATCACTGCAGGTTTACACAGTGAGCCAGAGGCCAGAAAACATAGCAAAACCTGGCCTCAAAAAATCAAATAAACAACAACTAATTGAAAACAAAACAGAGGTCCTGGCTGTCCCTATGTCTGGGGAAGACTTGTTGACTCAGCTAAAAGACAGAAAAAAAAAAAAAAAAAAAAAAAAAAAAAAAAAAAAAAAAAGCAAGCACACCTAAATTAACAAGGGGGCAGTCATTTAATGCAGAAACCCAGTTAACATAAAGAGACACAAAGCCAAATAACAGGTAAGACTTCAAACGATACTGCATAGTGTTACAGATCAGCTCTTACACAGTCGGTCTGTTGTTCTTATGCATTAGAATCCAGTACAAAGACAGAAAGTTGACTTCAATTCATTAAAAGTAATAATAAGGCAACAGAAGAAGAATCCTCTGGTGACAAGGAACAGCCACAAAGAATGCACAAATATCAGATGCTGACACAACAAGACACCATCAGGACTAGTTCTGAGGATGCTGCATTAAAATCGAACAAGCCTGATACAGTGACAAGAAAATTATACTCGTTTTGTTACGAATCCTTTTGCAAATAGAAACGACTCTCCGGTGATGGTTATATACAAACTTTCTGAAAGAAATGGAAATTGTACAAATTTTCCCATCGCTGTTCCTCTTTTCTGGTGCCTATAAATGTCCCGTGGCACTGGTCCTCATTTCGGACAGTCAAAGTGTAAATAGTCATTAAAGCACTTGAACCCACAGTAGTCTTGTCCTTAGAAAGGTTGGGAGGTTCTGCTTGATTTTCTGTCACTCATCTGGAAAGGGCAGCAGGCAACAGGTTGGAATGCAAAAGACCTCTTTGTGCTTGGAACCCTGGTGTGAACTCAGTTCCACTCCCCTTAGGAGTGACCCCACTCGGTAGCTGGGGCTTCTACAGTGCAGACAGTCATACAGTGGAGTCCCTGCCAGACTTCAGGTGTGCAATCTTGGTCCGGCTAATAAACGGATAAGCGATGCAGAGGCCTCCAGCTGCCACAATAAAGCCTAAACTGCACCAGGCACAAAAGATAGACCAGCTGTAGCCATGTTCCACATCGTGAGGCAGGCTGTAAATTAGCTTCGGGACCCGGTTCAAATCATAGGAGACACTGGCAGCATACGTGCAGAGTGAGATGGTGCAAAATATCCCTACAAGGAATGCAAAGAGAGCAGAGTGATCAGTTGTGCTTTGCTCATGTCCAGGCAAAACACCAGACAAGCCTCGGTGAAAATCAGATCACCCCAAATTCAGGAACACCTGGAATTCTATTACTTGAATGGATTCAATCTGTAAACATCAACAAATAGCAGGGAAAACTCAGATCATTTAAACCTCTCAGATTTGTCTTGCATAGTTTCTGCAAGCACTCTACCAACTGAGTGACATTCCCAGACCTTAAAATTTCGGTTTTTTAGCGGGGAGAATCTAGCAACCTCTCAAATCTAACACAAAACAGCCATCATTTCCTTTGCTCTATACCAGACTTACACTTTCATACAGTTGCAGATATTATACAAAGACATCTTTTCTTTTCTTTTTCCTTTTTGTATACATTGGTTTTGTTGTAGCAAAGCAACACTTCAACATTTAAAAGGGGCATCTTTTGATGATTATGTTTACCATGTTTACTGTAAGATTAAAAGAATTGTTAGAAGTGGCTTTTTTGGTAAGATACAGAATCTAACACACACTAGGCCTTTAGCAATTTTTTAAAAAAAATAAAATAAAGTAATGAATACTTCCAAATAATATAAACTACATCTAGAAATTTGGAATTGATATAAAAATTTAAGTAAAGGTATTGTGTACTTCAGTCATGCAAATTGTAATTAATTTGAGTGGTAAATATATACACCATACATTTACATAAGTATTTATGCTATATGACATATTGTATACATAAAACAATATTTTACTTTATCATATCAATATGTGTATAGACAATTGTCCTTTAAGAACACTAAAATCAGGAATGGGCAGACAAAACAAGGGCTCATTTGATAAAGTTCTTGCCTTATAAGCATGAAGATATTGGTTTGATACCCACATAAAAAGCCAATCACGGTGGCACATACTTATAACCACAGGCAGATGGCCAGCCAGATAACGTAGCTCACTGGGCCAACAACAACAACAACAACAACACACACACACACACACACACACACACCACTTATAAACGTGTTTCTTAATGTCCAAGAGATGTAGTTGCTTCCTGCTCTCCAATGGACCCTCAAGAATGTTTTATGGGAGTGGGTATAGGATGAGAATGGGGTATTCACAGAGTTCATGAAATAAAATAAACAAATGAAACCAGAAACTGGCATTCAATCAAGTGTTAGAATGTCCAAGCCCTACACAGTCTCTCATCATGCCCTGGATTATTGCTGTGAACAATGAAAGTGGCATCTGTTTGCTGGGAAATGGCGTTATATCCTTGGGGATACATGAGGCACAGAACTTAAAAGACAGAGGCAAAAAGAAGCAAGAACTCTACCCCTGTCTTAATCTGCAGCTTTTGGTGATCAAAGCCACTAGCAGAAAAAACAAACTTAGAGCAGGCAGCTATTTGCAGGGAATAAAGATCACCCTACATCCTAATGCCATTTTACAGGCTCTAGACTTCTGCTTTCATTTGGGTCATGCAAAGGCACATTACCTAAATCTTTTTCCAAATGTGCACTTGGAAAATAAATATTCCAAAATAAAAGTACTCTGTCTGAGATAACTTGGTATTTCCTACTCTTTGTCTGGCTTTGTTTCTAAGCTCAAAAATAAATGATTTTGTTTTTCTGAAAAGGATAAAGTAATATTGTCTGGCTTCTTTCTGCACTGGTTCATTTTTTTTCCAACTTTTTTTTATTTGAATTAGAAACAGGATTGTTTTATATGACAGTCCTATTTCCCTTCTCCCACCCGGCGTCCTCTCCTACCCACCCACCCCCAACTAAAACTTTATCTGTCACATATCTTTTCTGCTCCCCCTGGATAGTGAGGCCTTCAATAGGGTGTCATCAGAGTCTTTGGTATCCTTTGGGATAGGGCCTAGGCCCACCCCCGTGTGTCTTGGCTCAGGGAGTATTCCTCTATATGGAATGGGCTCCCAATGTCCACACCTATGATCGGGATAAATTCTGGGCTTCTACAGGAGGTCCCATAGATTTCTGAGGTTTCCTCACAGAAACCCATGTTCCTTGGTTCTGGAGGGTTTCTCTGTGTAGCCTTCGCTGTCCTGGAACTCACTCTGCAGACCAGGCTGGCCTCGAATCCAGGGATCTCTGAGTATTGATCACCTCCAGAGTATTGGGAGTAAAGGCATGTGCCACCACTGTTTTTTGTTTTGTTTTATTTTTTAACAGTAGACATATTATTCGAGTTGTACAAAGGGTAGAAACCACTCTTTCATCAAGGAATAGACCATTCAAATGAGGACTTCCCTGCTTTTACCAAACCCTGTGAAGAGCAAATGTCCTTACTACATCTGTCCACATGACTGCACTGACAACAAAAACCATGTTTGTGAACATTAAGTCCCTAAAGAAATGCTGACACTAGAAGGAGGGAAAAATTGATCTCTGGAAAATCAACAGGTAAAACATAATGGTGGAACAATGACCTCTTCCCAGGGAAAACAGCTTCATCCTGCACTCAGATGTCTGCACATGGCTGACTGCCTAAAAGCAAGCATTTTTACAAGCAGCATGATGCTAATGACCTCTGAAAGCCTGAGTTCAAACTTAGATTTCCCAAGCATCCTTTGAAGTAAAATGTGCTGGGCTGGGCTGCAAGAAAAACGCATTCGGCTGGCTCTGTGTGACCCTGATATTGCCTTACCTTCCCTGGAGCATTCATGGGGAACAGGGGCTTGTCAACACATATCCCTCATAGCGCTCATAATTCTGCTAATCCCAAATAAGGCACACAATCAGTGTATTGCTTAAGATGTCTTTGTGACCATGGGACGATTAGGAAACTAAGCTTTTAAAAATGGCATAGCTTACATTGCTTTCTGGATACTTTCCCTTTGATTTTATCTAAAATGTTGGTTTTTATGAGCACCCCTCCCTCCAAGAACTCCATGAAACTACTTTTGGTGTGATGCATTTTATGATTGCACCCTGGGTTCATGCTGAATAAGAAAGGATGCCAGGGCACAGGTGCCTTATGTTCTGAATGAATGTGTGTTTTCCTGGGCACTTGGTGAGGGAAGACCTCATGGACACTGTGTGGAGTGAATCTAACTGGCTCTCTCTCTCTCTCTCTCTCTCTCTCTCTCTCTCTCTCTCTTTCTAAGATGCCAGGGGCTGAAGTTCCCTGAAGCTAAATCTGTGCCCCTCCCACCTCCCAAGAGCAAAACAAAGACTATTTTGGAATGCTTTTTGGCTTCCACCCTCACTCTTGGATCTAAGTTGCTTTGTGTTTCAGTTTGGAGATTACATGTCTATCAAAGGCCATGAGTCAAAGTCTTGTGTATCAGCTTGTGAGTGTTAAAATAATAATAGTTTTATGTCAGTGGTGGGCCTGAAAAAGGGAGCTGACACGTAATTACACCATGAGCCAAATAGTTAAGAGGAAAGAGAAATCAGTAACAGGTGAGGGGAATTAGTGTTAGCCTCTTTTTCCAGGTCACAGCACCAAATGTTTAATATAATAATAAATAGAGTGGCCAGTTGGGAAAATGCAGGTGATTACATGTCATCTTCTTTCTGGAACCGACCACTCTACTATTATATTTAATAGTGAGTATGACAGGGAGACAGTGGAATCTTTGGGAGATGGGAACTGGTAAAAGAAAATTAGGTCACAGGGGTGTATCCTTGAGGGGACTATTGGAACTCCAAGGGCTTAGTCTGTCTATGGGCCCAAAGCAATGGGGTTCAGAGACCATGAACTAGAGACTCTGAAACCATGAACCCCCAAAACCAAACAAAATCTTTTCAATCGATTTACCCAGGTGTTTTGTCACAGCTAAGGACTGCTAACACATCTTGCAAATTTGATTGTCCTTTTCTCTTACTTTTTTTTCCTTCTTGCATATATTTATTGTACAACGAAATACCACATGCATCTTCCGGCCACTCAGGTCCTTTTGGGAAGAGGTACTCATCAATCTGATGAAATTTCATCTCCTGGCCTCACTGACATGGTGTAAGGAAGAATAGGCCTACTTGCCTACTCAGTGTCCCCTGTCTGCCCTTCCCTCTTCCCACAATGCCCCCTAGGGTCTCCAGCAGTGTCTTCCCTCCTTCTGAAAGCTCTGGAGACAAGAGGAGCTAGCTATTCCATCCAGACCCTTGAATCCCTGAGGAGCTCTACAAACACCTAGTGGCTACAGGTGTTCTTGTGCAATGGAAGGTCCATAGAAGGAAATGTACTGGAGAAGACAAACTTTTATAAAATATTATAAAAAGAAGTTTGTCCCATTCAAGATATTAAAAAAAATCCAGCTGGGTTTAGCAAGTGTTTAATACCAGTACTTGGGAGGCAGAGGCAATCAGGTCTTTGTGAGTTCAAGGTTAGCCTGGTCTATATAGTGAGCTCCAGGATCCAGGACTGCCAGAGCTACATAGTGAAACCTTGTCTCAAAACAAACAAACAATCATAAATTTGATCACAACAGGAAAAAAAAACTTGTTTTAAATAACAAAGGCATGCCTACTGCAGCCAGATCCATAGTTCAGCCAGTTTAGATATAAGATCCATTTTAAATCCCTTACACACCTTTTAGTGTTCTGTGTATGTGGTTGATAAAGGTACTGTAGCAATGTACTACAGAGAGGGGAAAAAAAAAAAAGAGCTATTTTCTCAGAATTCCAGAGGCTGTGAATCTAAGCCCAAGGCATTGGTATAATGGTTTGCTTCTGAAACCACCTTACCTTGGGCATGGCTGCCTTCTCTTCAAATATCTTCACATGCAACCACTCAAATCCCCCTCTTCTCTAAGACCACATCATCTACACTGGCTTACGACACAACATATTGCTCTGATTTAATGTGAGTTTCTCTTTAAAGTCCCTGTTGCAAAGTTAAGTCACACTTTGAGATCCTGGGGGCTGGGGAATCAACACATAAATTGTGGGAAATTCAACTTAACCCTTAGCACTGTGTGTGTGTTTGGGTCTTCTAACTGAATGGAGTATACTTGTAT